CACATATATACTCCCACACATTTACAGAAATACTTCAGACATTTGTAAGTAATACTTATCTTTGCCCCTGATGACAGGTGTGTTTGCGATCTTCTTTGTTTTAAATAAATATAACTTATTTATGTTTAGTGCCAAAACCCGTTAAGTCCAACTGTTTATAAATGTTTAATTTTATTAAGAAATTAAAAAGTTTGGCATAAACTATATTTAATCTAATTTTATTGTATAAATTTAATTTTTTACGGATTTATTGATTTTTAAAAACACTTTTTTGTTAGGTAAGGACCAAAACTTAAAATTTTACAAAAATATACTTAGCATATTTACAACTTAAACTAACTTTATGTGTATTTACATTTACGTTTTTTGAATTTTTTTCCTGCGGTTTATTTTTTATTTATCCAAGGAATAATGTTGCTATCTGAGTGTGTGTGTGTAAAGAAATACTTTTCTCTACATATACAAGTTTGTGTTGTATATATGTACATTGGTTTAATTTTTTTAATATAAAATTAAAACCTATATTGTGGTTTAAATAAAACAAGTATAAAAAAAATTTTATTCAAATTTTTTGTTTTCTAAAGTTTAAAATCCTTGCTACTTGACACTGAAACAAATGTTGCAAAACATGTGAAAAATCTTGAGAATAATTTTGTTTATTTTGTTTTGAAAATAAAAATAAAAGAATACACGAAATGGAAAGCATGTAAATATGTTAGAGCGACACATGTACTACGCTTTGTTAGCGAATATTAATTTTTAAACGCTGACTTCTTTTAACAAGTTGTTTTTTTTTTTTTCAAGAAATAACTTTCATTAGAATCGGAAGACAGTATGACATGAAGTAAACAAACCTTTAATAGTTGGAAATTTCTAAAACGTATAAAAATAACCTTGAATTCATTGCCATAATTACAATCATGGAGCAGATATTGGAAATTTTTCATAATCTCCAACTTGAAACACGCGTTTATTAATCCTTAATTTTATCGCTTATTTTAATTATTTCATAATTGACTAAAAATAATGGAGTTATATGTGAGCTATCTGGGATGTATACAGTCAGGTTGTGTTGGGTTCCAGGGCACTGTAATATACAGAGTAATGAGATCACAGACGAAGAGGAACTAGAGACAGTGGAGCATATTTTGTGCGACTGTCCCGGTGCACAGAGTCTGAGGCGGAAATGGCTAAGAAAAACATTCCATGATGATTTAGGAGATGTAGCTAGGTGTGGTATAGGCGTCGGACCTCATACAATTCCCTTCCAATACTATCAACATTCTTTCTTTATTAGGATAGGAATTCATTAATTTCACACTTACATATCACTTCGGCTTATCAAATTCTGAGTCGATTTAGCTATGTCCGTCTGTCCGTCTATCTGTGTTAAATACGAAGCAATAGAATTGAACCAAATTCACCCAAAATGTTCTTAATTTTCCTAAGTTGTTTGGTATTGAAAATGAGCAAAATTGGTTAAAACCGGGAAAAGTTGTGAATCAAAATTTAAAACAACCTCGAAAAAATAAGCATTTTTTACACATTCTGATGTAATTTTCTCCAAAACTATGCAAGATAATTCCATGAAAATGGTATATATTCCCGGAAAATGGGTTTTTTGTTAATAACTTCCGTCACAATGTCGATATCTTCACAAAATTTTGCAAATTAAAATCTTATGTCAATAGAATTCATACAGAGAAAACAATTCTGGATCGGTCCATAATTGGACATAGCTTCTATACAAGGTCCCCTCCCGAAAATCACTTAAAACCACATAAATCATTACTAAATTAAGATATCCATATAAAATTTGGTGCAAGTATTGCTTTTATGCACAGAAATATTACTGTGAAATTGTTTTCCTATCTGTCCATAATTGATCATAGCTCCCATACAAGATCCCTTTCAGAAAAACACTTAAAGGCACATAACTCATTACCAAATAGTGATACCCATAAAATATTTGGCATAAATACTTTTTTTGTATACATAAATGTTATTTCAAAAAGTTTTCACGATCGTTCCGTCCTTGGTCATAGCTCCCATACAAGGTTCCCTTCCGAAAAGCACTTAAACGCACATAACTCATTACCATTTAGCAAAAATATTGTTCTTATATAAATAAATTAAACTATAAAATTGTTTTACGATCGGTCCATATTTGGTCATAGCTCTCATACTAGGTCCCCTCCAGAAAATCACTTAAATGCACAATATTCATTACCAAATAGTGATATAGATACAAAATTTTGAAATTTTGTCTTTGTATACATAATTGGTCATAGCTCACATACAAGGTCATTTTGCGGTCGGTCCTACGCAAGGTTGCCTTCAGAAAATCACTTGAACACACATTACTTATTACTTAATTACGATATAGATACAAAATTTGACTGAAATATAGCCTTTATGTACAGAAATTTTGCTAAAAGAATTTCTTACGATCGGTCTATAATTGGTCATATCTCCCATACTAGGTCCTGCCCCTGAAAGCACTTTAACCGTATTTAACTAGTTGCATTATCAATTTGTATAGAACAAAATTATATATATGTATTTTGAAAATCCTTAAATCTTTCACAAATATGCATACATGCACATTATTAAATAAATTTAAGGCATATCTTAGGGCGCTATAAAAATATAAAAGAAAATGTAATGTTCAATAAATTTTGGAATTGTAACAGATTTAAGCTGTTAAAATCTTGGGGATTTTCTATTTAAGACATGAGAAAACTTATTTCTACAAATATTTGATCAAATATAAAAGTATTAATATAAAAGTAGTTGGTGGAGGGTATTTAAGATTCGGCACAGCCGAATATAGCACTCTAACTTGTTTCAGTTACAAACCATTTCAGATCTAACTTCCTATCAAAAAAGAAGAAAGGTAATTATATCCTACAGCACTATAGTGGTTTAGCTATGTCCGTCCGACTGTGCGTCTATGTAAACCTTGTAATCAAACTACAAGTCGCAATTTTCCAGATAATTTGATTTAAATAGGCTCATACGTTTCATTTTAACCAAGGACGAAGTTGTTTAAAAATTGATTAAATCGGTCCATTATTCCCCTAGCCTTCATACAATCGTACCCCCGAATAGGGCTTTGGAACTCTTAATTATGGCTTCAAGGTCGTTAATTCCCTCTTAAACACTATCATTATGATGAAATTCTGCATATCTAACTCCTATATGAACATACATTAATGCCTCCACCAAATTTTGATCGATTTGAGGTTCGGCCCATAATTGATCCTAGCTCCCATGTGTAGCCTCTTTCTGAAAATCAGTTTTTCATCAATAAATTGCTTAAATAGTATATGGAAATTAAGACAAAATTCAATATAAATGCTATATTAAACAAGTAAGAAATTATAGTCGGGCGAGGCCGACCATGTAATACCCTACACCTGTTACAAAAATAAAATGTGATTTAGTTTTCAAAATAAAGCATTTAAGTTAAATTGTACCTTGTCTCAGATATACTTAAGCCATTTATTGTTGAATAAAATTGTGGACATTTAAGTCAAATTTTGAAGGAGGCTTTGTATAGGGTCTATGGTCAAATGAGACCCTATAATTATAAAAATCATGAGAGTCATAATGGCTAGAACTTGGTTTTGCAGCTTTTTGTCGCGATACGATTATATTAAACATAATTATGAACTTGAAAGCCCTATTCGTCGGGTTCAGTTGTATGGGGGCTAGGTGAAATAATGGACCGATGTTAACCATTGTCAATAGGCTTCGTACCATAGAAAATCATGTGCCAAATTTCATTGAATTATCTTCAAAATTGAGACCTGTAGTTTGATTAGAAGGTTTACAAGCCCTATTCAGGGGTTCAGTTGTCTGTGAGCTAGGTGAAATAATGGACCGATCTTAACCATTTTCAATAGGCTTCGTCCCTGGGACAATAGAAGATCATGTACCAAATTTCATTGCAATAGCTTCAAAATTGCAAGTTTGTAGTTTGATTACAAGGTTTACATGGACGGACGAACATGGACCAATATTATTGTGCGTTACAAGCATCACCACAAACCCAATATACCCTCCCCACTAAAGTGGTGAAGGGTATGAAAAGAAATCACATTTTAGATATACTCATAACTGATATCATATGGTCGGTCGGGCATTCTCGGCTATTCTTTTTTTATTAGTTTTAAAAATGTATCACATTTTATTAAAATTAATATAAACATTTTTCAGAATTGTTTAAAAAAACAAGAAACATGCAGGTAGTTGTATAAAAAAACATGAAATATTTTTATAAAACTTAGCATAACTCTTTAATTTTTCATCGTATTTTATAAAGATACAAATTTGTATTGTAAATTATTTTGAAAAAATTGTTTTCGACAATATCCCTAGCAAATTAATTATTCAAAATATATAAAATATATACAAATATATTTTAAATACCTGTAAAATAGTGAGCATTTTAATAGCTAATAGTTCATATAATTAAATGTACTTTATCCCAGTATAGCCACAATTTTAGATTTTGGGGAAGGATCCGAGATATCAGAAGTCGCGCTTAGAATATGACGTCGAATTAAAAAATTACCTAAGAGTGAAATATAGCTACAGTCAAGTCATAAATACTGATATATGATATGTCACGGTCGGACTTAAAGTGGCGACGTAATATATAAAAACAAAAAGGGCGGTATTTCTAGGCATGGCAAAAAAATATTCTTTATATTTGAAATGTTATTAATATATTTTTAATCGTAGGGGGTGACTGATTAAACATTTTTCGACCCACCCTAATGTATACCTTTTTAGGTATACAACCCTAACTAAACAATGTACATATGTACTTTATATTCATTTTGTGGTGCCTGAACGTATACTTTATATTAAATTATTATATGAGTTTAAATATTACTCATACGCATCACTCATTACATTTTTTACACAATACTTACAAATAATGATTATTTTTTACATAATTTAAAGTATTTATGTTTGTCCTTCATTTGCAGATCCTTGAAATGTGCTCGTATAACGTTGCATATGAATCTTTTTACATCCTTCGCTGCCAATAACTCCTTATGGTTGGTGTGGTATTTGGTTGTGCTACCGGACGGAGAACTGCTGCAACAAAATCCGGTAAGTTAAGTAGTGTATAATGCAAACAATTAAAATAGAATTTAAAATTTTTCAGTTTAAAATCTAATAACGATTAAATTTAAATTTTTCATTTCATTTTTACAACACCAACTTTATGAACCTGATGGTGTAAACCTTTGACTAACTACAGCCTATATGTGTAGTTTTACATGTAATTTTACATTATTTTCTTCTAACCAACTATTCCTGGATGCTGTGTGAAGGTTTCTATTTACATACAGTTCTGGTGTCAGCCTTTATATCAGAGAAGAAACTAGTTAAATGGTTGATAGCATTTGGTTGGGGCTCACCAGCTGTTGTCATATTTGTTTATGGTTTGGCGCGTGGTTTGATTGGTTCGGCCACTGATAATGCCCAGTAAGTTTAAGGTTTATTAATTATACATTTAAAAGAGACAGATATTGTTTAAAAGTTTTTGTTATTAAATATTTTTGTTAAATTTTTATTGTTATTTTATGCTTATCTACAGCTGTTGGATGAATCAAACAAAATTTGAAAATATTTTGGTTGTACCTGTTTGCATTTCAATGTTCCTTAATCTACTCTTCCTGTGCAATATTGTTCGTGTTGTTTTATTAAAGATGAAAGCACCCGCCAGTCTACAAAACAGTTGTGGCCCATCACGTACAGTGCTCCAGGCATTTCGGTGAGTTATAAATGTTACAGTATTTTTTGTTTTTTCTTCTAATTTTATTTCCTTTGTTATGACCACGTTTAGTTGTCTTTTTTTGCTACGCTATTTCAGTGGGCTTATACTAGAGTAAATTAGATTTGAAGGGAAAAAAATTTATTTAGCAATTTAAGTTGGCAAAGTTGTTAAATGGTATTATATGTTTTAATAAAACATCTCTGTAACTTTTTCTTGCGTTTTTCATTTTAGTGCCACATTGCTGCTGGTGCCATTACTGGGTTTGCAATATATTTTAACACCCTTTCGTCCCGATCCCAATCATCCTTGGGAACATACTTATGAAGTAATATCTGCATTTACTGCTTCATTTCAGGTGAGTAAAGAAATACTTTATTTAAGTTCTTCTTAGTTATTTATTTTATTCATTAATAAGGGGATATATAATTACTGTAATCAAGGAATGTTTATTATAATTTCAACTTTAATATTTGTGTTATTTAATCAACAATATACCAGGACGAGTGGAATCCTTTTACACCACTTTGAGGGTGTTTATGATCATAAACTAATAGCCTTACATCCTTTTAAAGTAAAACCGTTCATCATAGTGTAAAGTTTTGCTATAGTCGACTATTTTCAACATAAAATGAAAATAATAACAATTTACTACAAAATACTCCATAAGATGATTAGAGCTTAACTGTAACCAAGTTTATTTCAATTTCATATTTTTAAACAAATTGTTCTACAACAACGAACAGCTTAAAAACTTTTTCTAAGACAACTTCTTAAAAAGTATAGAATTATTTCAAATAAGCTGAATACAAAACAGAAAAGAATCTAATTAACACAACAAATATTTTATTCGTTTGCTTTCAGCGACCAGCTTGTTTAATTTTACTAGTTAATTTCTATTCATCTTACGGGGTAGATGACTTGATAATTGCTCCCTCTGAGCCGCTAATTCTGTAATCGTAATTTTTTTTTAACAATTTCTTCAACCTACTTGTCGGGTTTCCAACTAAATTTTTGAATGTTTTATTAAGAAGAAAAATAAAAGAAGAAAATTTGGCTAGACATTTACAATTACATATTTATTCTTGGAAATTTATTTAGTCATATGCTTGTGCAAATTGTCGTTTGTTATTACAAAAAATGTGCATATACAAAAGACTAATTATTTCTGAAAATTCAATTTAAATTTATTCATATAAATGGGGAAAAAAATGTTACATTTCATATCGGCGAAAAAATTACATTAAAATAATTTATTTTTTCCATACCAAATATTTTCCATCAGAAGAGACTCTAAAAAGTAAAGATCAATTGTAGATCAGGCACGAATGATACAGAAGTTAAATATTTTCGGTAGTTTTTGATATCGGAAAAAACCCCACAACATTTTCGGTACCTTTTCTAAATAGACTATAGACTAGACTATAGTCTAGTCTATAGTCTAGTCTATAGTCTAGTCTATAGTCTAGTCTATAGTCTAGTCTATAGTCTAGTCTATAGTCTAGTCTATAGTCTAGTCTATAGTCTAGTCTATAGTCTAGTCTATAGTCTAGTCTATAGTCTAGTCTATAGTCTAGTCTATAGTCTAGTCTATAGTCTAGTCTATAGTCTAGTCTATAGTCTAGTCTATGGTCTAGTCTATAGTCTAGTCTATAGTCTAGTCTATAGTCTAGTCTATAGTCTAGTCTATAGTCTAGTCTATAGTCTAGTCTATAGTCTAGTCTATAGTCTAGTCTATAGTCTAGTCTATAGTCTAGTCTATAGTCTAGTCTATAGTCTAGTCTATAGTCTAGTCTATAGTCTAGTCTATAGTCTAGTCTATAGTCTAGTCTATAGTCTAGTCTATAGTCTAGTCTATAAAAATAATTTATTTTTCCATACCAAATATTTTCCATCAGAAGAGACTCTAAAAAGTAAAGATCAATTGTAGATCAGGCACGAATGATACAGCAGTTAAATATTTTCGGTAGTTTTTGATATCGGAAAAAACCCCACAACATTTTCGGTACCTTTTCTAAATAGACTATAGACTAGACTATAGTCTAGTCTATAGTCTATAGTCTATAGTCTAGTCTATAGTCTAGTCTATAGTCTAGTCTATAGTCTAGTCTATAGTCTAGTCTATAGTCTAGTCTATAGTCTAGTCTATAGTCTAGTCTATAGTCTAGTCTATAGTCTAGTCTATAGTCTAGTCTATAGTCTAGTCTATAGTCTAGTCTATAGTCTAGTCTATAGTCTAGTCTATAGTCTAGTCTATAGTCTAGTCTATAGTCTAGTCTATAGTCTAGTCTATAGTCTAGTCTATAGTCTAGTCTATAGTCTAGTCTATAGTCTAGTCTATAGTCTAGTCTATAGTCTAGTCTATAGTCTAGTATAGTCTAGTCTATAGTCTAGTCTATAGTCTAGTCTATAGTCTAGTCTATAGTCTAGTCTATAGTCTAGTCTATAGTCTAGTCTAGTCTGTCTATAGTCTAGTCTATAGTCCTAGTCTATAGTCTAGTCTATAGTCTAGTCTATAGTCTAGTCTATAGTCTAGTCTATAGTCTAGTCCTAGTTAGAGTCTAGTCTATAGTCTAGTCTATAGTCTAGTCTATAGTCTAGTCTATAGTCTAGTCTATAGTCTAGTCTATAGTCTAGTCTATAGTCTAGTCTATAGTCTAGTCTATAGTCTAGTCTATAGTCTAGTCTATAGTCCTAGTCTATAGTCTAGTCTATAGTCTGTCTATAGTCTAGTCTATAGTCCTAGTCTATAGTCTAGTCTATAGTCTAGTCTATAGTCTAGTCTATAGTCTAGTCTATAGTCTAGTCTATAGTCTAGTCTATAGTCTAGTCTATAGTCCTAGTCTATAGTCTAGTCTATAGTCTAGTCTATAGTCCCTAGTCTATAGTCTAGTCTATAGTCTAGTCTATAAGTCTATAGTCTAGTCTAGAGTCTAGTCTAGTCTAGTCTATAGTCTAGTCTATAGTCTAGTCTATAGTCTAGTCTTAGTCTAGTCTATAGTCTAGTCTATAGTCTAGTCTATAGTCTAGTCTATAGTCTAGTCTATAGTCTAGTCTATAGTCTAGTCTATAGTCTAGTCTATAGTCTAGTCTATAGTCTAGTCTATAGTCTAGTCTAGTAGTCTAGTCTATAGTCTAGTCTATAGTTCTAGTCTATAGTCTAGTCTATAGTCTAGTCTATCTATAGTCTAGTCTATAGTCTAGTCTATAGTCTAGTCTATGTCTAGTCTAGTCTAGTCTATAGTCTAGTCTATAGTCTAGTCTATAGTCTAGTCTATAGTCTAGTCTATAGTCTAGTCTATAGTCTAGTCTAGTCTATAGTCTAGTCTATAGTCTAGTCTATAGTCTAGTCTATAGTCTAGTCTATAGTCTAGTCTATAGTCTAGTCTATAGTCTAGTCTATAGCTTCTATAGTCCTATAGTCTAGTCTATAGTCCTAGTCTATAGTCTAGTCTATTAGTCTAGTCTATAGTCCTAGTCTATAGTCTAGTCTATAGTCTAGTCTAGTCTATAGTCATAGTCTATAGTCTAGTCTATAGTCCTAGTCTATAGTCCTAGTCTATAGTCTAGTCTATAGTCTAGTCTATAGTCTAGTCTATAGTCTAGTCTATAGTCCTAGTCTATAGTCTAGTCCTATAGTCTTAGTCTATAGTCTAGTCTATAGTCTAGTCTAGTCTTAGTCTAGTCTATAGTCTAGTTATAGTCTAGTCTATAGTCTAGTCTATAGTCTAGTCTATAGTCTAGTCTATAGTCTAGTCTATAGTCTAGTCTATAGTCTAGTCTTTTTTTTTTTTTTTTTTTCGATAGGTAGGTGAAAATCTTGCATTAGATACCCAGGTGTTGTTTGGGTTATGTCGGATTTCTACCGACTAAAAACACCTCCTTTCTCTTCCATGAGCCCTGCGGGACTGTCCTATTACGAGATTAGTCTATAGTCTAGTCTATAGTAGTCTATAGTCTAGTCTATAGTCTAGTCTATAGTCCGAGTCTATTAGTCTAGTCCTATAGTCTATAGTCTAGTCTATAGTCTAGTCTATAGTCTAGTCTATAGTCTAGTCTAGTCTTTTTTTTTTTTTTTTTTTTCGATAGGTAGGTGAAAAATCTTGCATTAGATACCCAGGTGTTGTTTGGGTTATGTCGGATTTCTACCGACTAAAAACACCTCCTTTCTCTTCCATGAGCCCTGCGGGACTGTCTATTACGATATTACTTCGCAGGACCGGATAGACTTAATTAGTCTCTGCTTCTAACTGCAACAATAACTTTCCTCTGCTTTCTTCCACTCGTAACTTTTCGTGGACTTCTTTAATGATGCTACAAACGATGTCCCAATTTTCTTTCTTTTCCATTGCCACATCTATTATGTTTGCGACGTTAATAACCCGTCCTATGACTACTTCAATTGACAAACGCGCATTTTCAAATCTTGGACAGCAGAACATAACATGCTCAGCATCTTCAGTTGGGTTTTGCAATACGGTCGCTAGTCTATAGTCTAGTCTATAGTCTAGTCTATAGTCTAGTCTATAGTCTAGTCTATAGTCTAGTCTATAGTCTAGTCTATAGTCTAGTCTATAGTCTAGTCTATAGTCTAGTCTATAGTCTAGTCTATAGTCTAGTCTATAGTCTAGTCTATAGTCTAGTCTATAGTCTAGTCTATAGTCTAGTCTATAGTCTAGTCTATTGTCTAGTCTATAGTCTAGTCTATAGTCTAGTCTATAGTCTAGTCTATAGTCTAGTCTATAGTCTAGTCTATAGTCTAGTCTATAGTCTAGTCTATAGTCTAGTCTATAGTCTAGTCTATAGTCTAGTCTATAAACTAGTATATAAACTAGATTATAGTCTAGTCAATAGTCTAATCTATAATCTAGTTTGTAGTCTAGTCTATTCTAGTCTATAGTGTCGTCTATAGTTTAACATATAGTCTACATGGACAGTCAATCGACACAGCAATTGATTTTGAGCCTATTACTGTAAATAAACACGGAATTTCATTGTAATTCAATTTTACCAAAATGGTTTTATAAATAATATAAACTTACTTTAAGTGTAAGGTGTGTTTCAAAATTATAAGAACAAATATATTTTTCGAATTTCTCTTCAAGTATTGAATGGATCTACAAAAAAATTGTACAAATAATACGTTTTTGCATTTACTATTTATACATATACAAAAAAAATAATTTTGAGATTATTGTTGTTGCATTTCTGGAAGTTTTCCGTTATTTTAATGTTGCATAATTATAAAACCAAATCAATAAAAACCTATTATGCAACTTAGTAGGCCAAAAATCTTGGATATAATTGGTCCTAAAATAAAGAAAAGAATTGTGTCTTTGATGTACCATGTAGATTTTT